AGAAAGGTGCACTTGTTTTGTAGAATAATACACCACTAGCGGAAATTGAAAAAAAAAAAGAAGAAGGAAAATATAGGTGAATAAATTGTTGGCTTGTTCTTGCTAGTGGGGTATAAATTAAAGTGGTGCTTAAGGAAAGAGGGAACATTGTTGGGAGTGATTTTAGTTGTGAAATTGAAGTTGGGATTGATGAATTTGCGCTCAAACTGATTATGTGATGTGTTAAAGTGCTTAGGAGGGTGAACCACTATTCCTAAATATATCCTACCCGTCCCTTAGCCCACATTACAACCATGAAAAAATCCTAATTGATTTTAGATCGAGTGAGCCTACATTAGTAGAGATTTACATTAAGGGCAAGCTTATGGTACCAAGTACATGCATGTGACTTCTTTTGTGAGTGTGAGTGATTTTTTTGACATATGTGAGCATGAAATTCGAATGTGTGGATTGAATCTATATTTTTTGCAGTGATTGTGAGGGCATGTGATTCGTGAAGGAAAAACAAGTCTTGACTTCTGTGTAGAGTACTTTGAGGAAGTAGGAATATTGCATGGCACTTGAGAGTAGACTTTTAAGGCTAGGATTGTTCACTGCTAGGCGTAATGTATGTAAATTGTTCTGGGTGTAATGCGTTAGGGGAAATGGTTGAGTGAAGGAACCTCTAGAAAGTATAGGGTGATTGCTCGAGGACTAGCAATGAATTAAGTGTGGGGTGTTGATAAGAGGCTGAATCTAGGTAATTTAGCGATTGTTTATGCTCCCCCTTAGTTATATTCCAATGTCATAATGTGGTTAATTGATTAAAAATGGGCTCTAATTGTGAATTGTATACATTGCAGGACGAGGAGCCTATGTGATGCCTTAAAGAGGTGATTGGAACTACTTTAGAGCAAGAACGACCCCTCGGAGTTGGGTACGTACGAAGACGAGAAAAAAATTAAGGAATTAAGGACCTGGGCTAGCGCGCCCAGGTGCGCGCCCGCGCTACTATTAGCGCGCCCTAAACAGAATATCTGCCAACTAGCACGGTCAGATGCGCGCCCATATGCGCGACCGCGCTAGTCCGAATTCCGGGAAGCTTTGTTCAGGGGCATAATTGAAAATCTGGAGGAAATCTCACTTAACCTATATAAAGTCAAGATCGCCCAAGGATTAAACATGAAGGTTTTCATAGTCTAGTGCAAGAAATAGAGAGGCAAGAGGCAAGGAGGAGATTTAATCATCAAGTTCTTCTTTTCTTTCCTATGTTTTTTGCTACTTGTGATGAAATTGAACCTTATTGTGTTGAACACTAGTATGAGTGGCTAAACACCCATTGTTCTGGGGTTGTGATTTAGCCATGAATATTGTTGTTTGATATTAGCTTGACCTTGATTATAATTCACCAATATATGGTTGTTTCTTCAATTCTGTGTTTAATTGCATAATTGTCTGGCCAACAGTTAGGTTCTATTTACTATCTATGCTATGCTTGGGAAAGCCATGTTTAGATTAGAGAAGAATTGAAGAGAGCATGATCTTAACCCTTAGGGGGAGCGGATTTGTGGTTAGGATAGGAATATACCTAGTCACCGTGCTGAATTAAATATCGTAATCTTAATGCGTTCTTAATAGATTGATTCCATAGGAATATAGGTGTTAATCTATTGAGAATATGTGAGTAGTACTTCGGGAGAAGGCTATGAGAGCATTTATCGATTAATTAGCAACCATAGGTGAATTATATGAAAGGGAGAGTTAATTAGAACACAATACGAATGGTGAATCGATCACAACCCTGGAATACTTATCTCTATTGAATACACAACAATCAATTCGTTACTTGATAATTTAGTTATTACTTAGAATCGTAGTATAATATAATTATATTATTGGACTTTGATTTTAGTTGGACTGAATAACAATTTGAGTAATTCTGTGAGTAGTTTACACAAGTCTCTGTGGGTTCGACACTCAACTTATCATTATATTACTTGTCGACCACGTATACTTGTGTGTGCGTTTGGGAGCAACAAATTAGGAGGGAGTCTGTCTCGCCAACGATGGGGGGGGGGGGGGGGAGGTTTCCCCTTTTGTATGCACCAATTGATGCCGAAAAACGTCACATGTGCTTCTGCCCAGTTGCTAGTGCCCTGCCTTAGTAGAACTGCATAGGCCATAATGAATTTTTCATTGCTGTCTCTAACCACTCCTCCAGCTCCACATTTTTCTCCAATACATGAGATAATCCACTTAACGATGATGAAAGAGGTTTCATTGAGTGATATGTTGCAAAGGTTACATATATCTGGCCAATGTTCCCCAACTTTGATGTTCTTGAATTTAAATTTAACCTACTGGATAATGTTGAAGGAAATTAGTGAGATAAATCTTGAAAATGAAGGCCTCTCTATCCCATACATTGAGCTACACCTGGATCTCCATAATTTCCAGCAAATGAAGAAAAGAAGGATTTTCAGCATTTAATTAGTAGCTAAGTTCCTAGTCTTCTGGTTCCAGCAATTAAGAAGAAGTATTCTCATGGTCACATTATTATACTTAATCCTAATGTGACCAATAAAATATTTTCATATTTTCTGGGCATACTGGCCATCACAAAAGAGATGTTCGATTGTTTCATTTCTGTTGCTTAGGGTAGGGCCTATGCAACATGAGCAAATATAAGGAAAGGGTCTGTCATGCACTGCTCCCCAAGTTAAGAAAGACATTTTGAAAGGAATGTCCATATGCCAAACTCTTGAGTCAAATTTATAAACTTGTCTTTTACGTTTGAGTAGGTTCCAAGCTGTAGAGATAGAGAATTTACCAGAATATATACCAGAATTGGAGCATGTTCAGTGAAGCGTATCATCAGTGCCATCATCATGAATTATGTATAACTGGGATACCTGAAGCTTTATCTGTTCAGGAGTTTGAACATAAAAGTAATACCTGTTCCACTGACCATCACTATAGATCTCCTTGATCATGATGTTTTGTTGAATTAAGTCATCCTCAATCATCTTGTATAGGGCGCCAATGGGTGACCAATTATCATACCAAAAATTGATATTCCCTTTACCAACATTCCACAAAATATTCTGATCCACTTTGTCTTTTAAGTCACAATTGGATTTCCAACTATGGGATTGAGCAGTAGATCAAGGGATTGAAATAGGGTGAGAGTTATAGCAGTATTTGCTCTCATAAATAAGGATCACAGAGAATTTGTGGTTCTTAATTTCCACCATTGTTTGGTAGTGAAACCCAAGCAAATATCTTCCACCTTTCTGAAGTTTGCTCCCCCTTCTTCATATGGAAAACAGAGATTGTGCCAAGATACCCAATGGTGCTTTCCCCCTTCCTCTGCTCCAGACTAGAAGAATATATTAATATACTTCTTAATCATGGATATAGTACCTTTGGGAGGATGGACAACAACCAATGTGTGAATGTTAAGAGCAAGAAGGACATGTCATATAAGAGAAGTTGTTCCTCTAAAAGATAAGAATTTTAAATGCCACCCTCTGATTTTGTTGATCACCTTGTTCACCATATCAGCATAAAAGGATAAATTCTTCTTGTATGAAGGGGACACCCTAGATACTTCATAAGAAAATGATCATATCTCATTCCCAAGATTCTTCAAACCCTTGTAATGGTTCTTTGGGCTGTGCCAGGGGACATAGTGAAGCAACCTTTGCTTTTATTTATCAACTGAACATAGACCTTCTCATATTGAGCTAAGGTCTTCAGAGTAAGTTGAAGAGAGTAACTCATACTGCTGCAAAAAATAATAGTGTCATCAGCAAAAGATAGGTGGTTGATATTAGGCCTCCGTCCATTCATATAAAATCCTCTATATCTACTGATAGAATGAATATTATTAAGAATTTGTGAGAGAAGTTCAGCTAGGGGTGGGCATAATACCGACCGAACCGAAAAAACCGGCCGAACTGTGAATTTCGGTTTTTCGGTTTCGGTTTAATCGGTTTTTCGGTCGGTTCACGGTTTTAAAATTATTAATTTTCGATTTTCGATGCGGTTCACGATTTATGTAATTCGGTTTTCGGTTAAACTAAAAATCCGAAATTTAGGGGTATTAGATATTTAGATTATTAGTTCTATCCCAATTGCCCAAGTTATAACCAGTATTGTCCAAGCCCAATTGCCCAAATGTCCAAGCCCACCTCACCGGCTCACCCAATTTACCCCCATAGAGTCATAGACCCAATTTAGAATTTTAGATTTAGGGTTCCTCTAATCCTCTTCCTCGATCCTCAGTTCCTCTCCAGTCTCCTCTGCGTCTGCGTCTCTGCGAGCTGCGACCTGCGACTGCGAGCTCAACTGTGCTACTGTTCCTCTTCGGCTCTTCCTCAGCTCTGTGCGAAACATCACCGGCATTCAAATTCAATTTTCTTTCTATTAATTTATGACCTTTTGCTGTGTCTTTCTTGTTTTTTAGTTGTCATCATATCAAGTCTAGAAATTTTGTTTTTGACTGATACTACTAGCTAGCCGCTGTTCACGGTAGATTGCAGTATTGTGACAATATTTTATTGCATCTATGTGTTCTCCTTTTGTTAGTATGTTCCAGTTCCACACCAAAAGAAAAACGTTGTGTAATCTGTTGCCTCATAAATTCATTTCTATTTCTCAGTTTCTCTTGTTATTTGTTTGTTATAGCTGATACATGTGAAATGTTTGGATAGTTTAGACTGAAGTTCAAATTTACATCCCTACAACCGTTTGAAACCGAAAATATAAACGGAAAATAACCGAACCGAATTTTGAAAAAACCACACCGAACCGTAAATACTTTGGTTTGATTTGGTTATTAAAATCACAAACCGAATAAACCGAACCGTATTTCTACAAAACCGAACCGACCGATGCCCACCCCTAAGTTCAGCAGTTAAAATAAAGAGAGAGAGAGGGGGGGGGGGGGGGGGGGGGAGGAGGTTCTCCCTGCCTGAGACCTCTTCCAGATTTAAAGAAACCTTGGCTGCTATCATTAACAAGAAGAGAATACCTGTTATTAGAGATAAATTTTATATAAGATCAGTCCATTCTTTTGCGCATCCAAGTTACCTAAGCATAAAACAAAAAAAGACAATGAAACTCTGTCATAAGCCTTGACCATGTCTAGTTTGATAACCATATTGGCTCCTTTCCATGGTTTTTCAATGTCATCGATGATTTCTTATGCCAGCAGGATGTTTTCAGTAATGGCTCTACCTTTAATAAAACCACTTTGATTTTGAGTGACAATTCTAGGAAGAATTCTATTTAACCTGGAATTAATCACCTTGGCAATGATTTTGCTAGAGATATTACATAAACTGAAAGGTCTAAATTCAGAGAAACTCTGTGGTGCTTCAACTTGAGGGATCATTACTATACAGGTGCAAATTTTTTTTAGGAAGAGTGGCTCCCTGGAAAAAGGATACTACTGCTCTATGGGGGTCTTCTGCAATAATTCTCCAGCATATTTGGTAAGACCTACCAGTCAAGCCATCAGGACTAGGAGAGCTATCTTGATCAATAGAAAGAACAGAATCCTTAACTTTTTGGAGGGTAGAGATAGTAGTTAATGTAGTATTATCTTCATCTAACACTATTTTGTTAACAACATTCAGTACCATGCTGTCCTCCTTAACTTCTTCAGCAGTGAACAAGTGCTCAAAATATTTGAGGGCAACATCAACAACATCTTTTGTACCTTCCAGTCAGTTACCCTCAATATCTTTGATCTTCTAAATCATTAGTCTCCTTCTCTTGTTCTTAATGACATCATGAAAGAAAGTTGTGTAGACATCTCCTTCTTCTAACCATTTGACTCTAGCCTTCTTCCTCAAGATACTATCTTGGAGCTTTAAGAACCTGATGAATTCAACTCTGGCTTTAGAGAGTTTCATTCTATTTCTTGGTTGTTGTTGGCTAAGGAAGCTTCTTCCAGACTTCTAATGAGGATCTTTAAGTTCTTAGGTTCTTCATAAATATCCCCAAAGGCTTCCCTCGACCATTGGCTAAGGGTCTTGCAGGTGTTTTTTATTTTCTGATAAGGATGTAAAGAGGATTTCCAGCTACCTCAATATCCCAAGCCTGTTGAACCACCTGCAAAAAATTATCATGATCAGTCCACATGTTCAAAAATTTGAAGTATTTAATATAATCAGTATTATTGACTTTGTAAGTGATGAGAAGAGGTGCGTGATCAGAACAAGATCTAGACAAATGAGTCACAGAGGTTCCCCCAAATTGGTCGAACCAATATGAGTTGTATACAAATCCGTCAAACCTCTTTCAGATGGTGTTAAGAGGATCTCTATTATCACTCCATGTATATAAGGAGCCAAGAAAACCTTCATTTTGAAGATCACAATCATTTAAACGAGAAATAAATTTAAAGCTTTCCTCCAGCCTATAGGGACGTCCTCCAATCTTTTCTTCAGCAGAAGTGATGATATTAAAGTCACCAACAACTCCCCGAGGGCCATGTATTGGATATGGTTCTCAATTCATCCCAAAGAACATTCCTTAATTGTTCATCACATTTAGCATGAACAACAGATATATAAAAAGGAACATGGCTTTGTGATTGAATTATGTGAACCAAAGCATGTTTCTCTTTATCTTACACTATATCAAGAGTATAGTCAAAAGACCAGAAAATTCAGATCTTATCAAAGCAGTTGTGAAAGCAGGATTGATATCACAGCTTCCTTTTGAATTTTTCAATTTTTCTAGCGCCCACAATAGGCTCCTTAATAAACATGTAGGAGATTTTATGCTCATTTTGAATGATACCGAGTCTTTCAGAAGCTCCTTGGGATCCTATCCCCCTAATAATCCATGAAAGTGTAATAATCATTGGAAACATTAATGGTTAGATTTTTTGTACAACCTTTATTGTCCGGAGCCACCATAGGTGGGGGGAAAAATTTCTCATTAGAAGTGTTGAAATCATTTGTGGGAGATAGATTATTGTAGTACAAAATATTTTGTTGGAACTTGTGTGGTAGTATTAGCCACATATTCCATACTCAAAGGATCTCTAGTCCTTCTGATAAGCTCATCATCAAACTTAGAAGAGTCATAATCTTCTGAGTCATAATCTTCTGATGAGTTATCCATAGAAATATCTGCCATACAGTCTTTGTAAGCAGTATCATCAAAAAAGAAATTTTCTTCCAACCTGTCAGATGTATCGTTTAGGATGTTATTAACAATATCTGGGGTTGGTTATATTTTCCCATTATATTCTTGATAAAAAATACTATCTCCTCTTCCTGTGCATATATTTCGTATGGGCATTGACTTCAAACCAAATAGTGGAGCAATTTGCTAGCAGCTATGTTGATTTAATAGTTCTTCATTTTCTAAGGAAACCTCAGGTTGAATGAAAGCTTTGGAAGTGAATTTTTTGGATTTTCTTAACACAATCTGCTCTTTTCCTTCTTGAACTTGTAGCAGTGAAAGATCCATTTCCATATCCTCTTCTTTTGCTTCAGGAAAGATAATTTTCTTGTCTTGCTTTGATTTACTAGCATTGGTCTTGATCATTTGAAAGTTGTTTTTTCCTTCCTTTGTTTAGCCTCCAGTTCTTTATCAAATCAAGTATGTTTTATTTCCATATGGTTGATATTGTTGCCCTCATGTTGAATATTGTACTTGTTGTAAGGCCTCACTACATCCATGCTTTCCACCTAGCCCTTGGAATTGTGAGTTACTATAACAGTAATGTTAGTAGTCATTGTATTAGGAGTTTGTGCTCCTCCATTTTCAACATCAATATTTTTGGTTTTGAGATCTCTAGACTGGATTATTGTATCATTAGCATTTTTTGTGTTGGCATTGTTGTAGTTATTGCCTTTGACCTTTTTATTTGACATTATTTGCCAACCTTCATCAGTGGAAATCTCTCTCATTTCTATTTCATTTGTCTGCTCGTGCCTACTACTGATCTTTTCTCCTCTTGGCAAGTTCCTGTTTAGTATGATAGTAATAGCACTATTTTTCTTGTTTGGTCCTAGAGATTTTCTCTAGTCCTTATGTTTCCCACTAAATGTTGGACCTTTGTTGTGTGTATTATTATTGTGCAATAATAATGTACTCCTCTCATCGTTTCTCAATTATGGATGTAAACTTGTACACGAACTATCATAATGACATTGCATCTTGCAATGATAATAGTAAGAAGGGGGATTCATATTCCACCTTTTGAGTGAACATCTCAAGATTGCCTTCCCCATTCCTGATCTCAACATTTACTTATGTAAGGAGAGGTTTAGTAAGATCAATCTCAATACAAACCTTTGCAGTAGTAGGTCTAGATTTGGATATAGTAGCCTTATCCATAGTGAGCGGTATACCAATAGGTTCAACAATGCGGCAAATGGTTTCCCATCTGTAGTAATGCCATCGAAGGTCTGGAAGAGTAATTCAAAGAAACTTACCCACAATTGTACATTTGCAAGTTTGTGCTAAATATCATTCTCTTCCTTTGTCAAAATGACAATAGGTTTACCATTGATAACTTCATAGGGTCTAAGAGGAAGCTTAACCCGATTCCTTTCAGTGATTGAGGGTCGATTCCATAGTACCTCTTTGTATGAGGTTTGAGCAGCACCTCTAGTTGAGGTAAAAGCAGCACCTCCAGTTAGTTCAACTCTTGATATCTGTCTATTGAAGTTTTGGGCTGACAGAGCAGGGAAATCTAAAGAGGGGTTTACTGAATGCTACTAAGAGAGATCGGAAACCAGATGGAGAACGTAACGGTAACATATAGGAGAAACTATAAGATTAGTCTTTGAGAGAAGGTGTTTACAGAATGTTACTAGGACTATGAGATGTTACTTATTTTAGAGCTAAGACACACTATGACAAGCTTCAATAATTATTGTCCTACGGCATTGTGCTATACTTTCGACATTGGTTTTCTCCTGACACCTCATCAGATCATTATAGTCCCTGATGATGAACACGTGTGTAACGACCCAACCGATCATTTTGAGCTTTTGCACTTTGTTCGCCAGTTCTCGGGCATGACTCGCTTTTTGTAGTGTATTATGACTTATGTAAATCGTTGGCTTTGGTTTTCAGGATGATCAGAATGAATTTGAAAGAACAGTTCTCAGTTTGAAGCTTGAAATTTGAAGGGTTTGACCAAGATTTGACTTGTTAATATATGATCTCGGATTGAAATTTTTATAATTTGGTTAGCTCCGTTAGGTGATTTGGGACTTAGGAGCGTGATCGGAATGTATTTTGGAGGTCCGGTGTAGAATTAGGCTTGAATTGGCGAAAGTTAGTTTTTGGCATTTTTCGGTTGATAGGTGAGATTTTGATATAGGGGTCGGAATGGAATTCCGAGAGTTGAAGTAGCTTCATTGTGTCATTTGGGATGTGTGTGCAAAATTTCAGGTCATTCTGACGTGATTTGTTTTGGTTTTTGATCAAAAGCGGAATTCGAAAATTTTTAGAAACTTAGGCTTGAATCCAATGTGTTTTGGGTGATTTGATGTTGTTTGAAGTGTTTTGATGATTGGAACAAGTTTGAATAAGGTATTAGGATATGTTAGTACCTTTGGCTGATGTACCCAGGGCCTCGGGTGAGTTCGGTGGTCAATCGGATCGTTTTGAAGTTAAGAAAGTTGCAGATTTTGAGTTCTAGCAGTTGCAGACGTTTTGGTCTTCGCGTTCGCAAAGGGTCAGGAAGGGAGGCGTCGGGTTTGGCCATCACGTTCGCGAAAGGCCGGGATTGTAAGTGTCGCATTCGCGGGAGGCTTGGACGCGTACGCGTAGGTTTGTGAGGTGAGGCATCGCGTTCGCGATGGGGGGGGTCACGTTCGCGAAGAAGAGCTTTGGTCAGCTGAATTTTTGTGCTTCGCGAACGCGAGGGTTTGACCGCGTTCGCGATGAAGGAATTTTAATAGCTGGGCAGAATGTTTTAAAGACCTGTTCCGCGACTTTGAACCCTTATACACCATTTTAAATAGGAAAAGAGCCTTGAGGGGTTTGAAGAGAGAAAATCATGGTTCTTCATTGAGGTAAGGATTTTGGACCCTAAAACTCGATTATTTGTGGTTTAGGAACAAAATATCAGTGTTTAATTCATGAAAATCAGTAGAAAAATGTGGAGTTAGGGCTTGAGATTATGAGACCTTCTAGGGATGATTTGAGGGGTCAAACGAACTTCGATTTTTGAGTTCTTTATATGTACGGACTCGTGAGATGATGAAGAATATTTTGGTATAAAGTTTGTCCAGTTCCGGGATGCGGGCCCGGGGGACGGGTTTTGACTGATTTCGGATTTTATGCTTAAAATCGATATTTTTCAATTGAAATTCATTCGTTTAGCATAATTTGATGATGAAAATCTGAACTTTGTAGATTTGGAGTATTCGAAAGTTGATTCGAGAGGCAAGCGTGTTGCAGAGTAGCTTTTCGGGCTAGTTCGAGGTGAGTAATGATTTTAAATGTTGTCCTGAGGGTATGAAACCTCGGAATTTCACAGCGTACGTCTAGGTTGAGGTGACTCATGTCACACATCCTTTTTTCTTACTACACACCGTAAAGAGGGTATAATAAAGAGAGTTTTCCAATTAAAGGACAATAGAAACGGGATTTATTTATTAAAAGATTCAGAGTCGCCACTTGGGAGATTTATGGTGTCCCAAGTCACCGGTTTAAAATCCCGAGTTGAGGAAAAGAATGACTTTGTTTAATAGTCCGCGAACCAGAAATCCGGGTAAGGAATTCTGTTAACCTGGGAGAAGGTGTTAGGCATTCCCAGGTTCCGTGGTTCTAGCACGGTCGCTCAACTGTTATATTTGGTTTAATTATCTGATTTTAAATAATTATGAACCTATGTGCAAATTTTAACTTTAACCGCTTTTAGTCATTATTAGGAAGATTGCAACGTTATCAAAATATGTTTCGAACCACGTCACATAAATGCACCCGCAGTTCGTAACACATTTTATCTAACGTTGAGATTTAGATTTGGGTCACATAAATGCGCACCCGAATTTAGGAAGGTAAATTATTAAAATAACGCGCCTAAAGCAACTACGCGTGGTTAACTTTGTGAGGGCCATGAAAATTCAACTAAATGGCACGCCCCGATTCTAATTTCAAAGGATTGTACTCAACTAAAGCAAACTACGGATGTTCAAAGATTAATTTCCTAAACTATTTTGAGATTATTGTGAATGAAATAAAATAAACTAAGGTGGGGGAAGGCGGGCCCGCATTTAAGCAAGCAAATCTTGCTAATCAAATTTGACCAAGGGACAAAATGCATAAAAAACAAAACTTTGCATACATGCCTGCAAGAACGTACAGAACCTAGGGACATATTCTTAGCCATCAGTTCTATTTTTACTCGTAAACCTTCCGTTACTTCATTTCATGAAAATTAAACTTGGCAAACAGATAAAAAATAGTAAAGCAACATTATTCCATGAAACTAGGTGAATAACGAAACACGGCAACATTGAAGAGCCAATAACAGTCCAACAAAAAGAACACTCACAGTTTTAAATGACAATAAAAATTTTCATTTGCTTGTCCAAAGTAAACCAACAGATTTAACAAAATGACATGGAAAAACTGGAGCCAAATCAAATCAGTATTTTATTCATTCTAAACTAGCAACAATCAGAAAATTAGAAGTGCACCTACCTTGTATTTTAAAAGAAACGAAGGAAAAGCGACACGAAGCTCAGCAACAATTTCCGTCCACAACCAACAACAATCGCAGCAAGACAACTCTAATTAGAGCTTCGACAACTTACAAAGATAAAAATCACAAGGACCTTCGATGTGAAGTAAAATCGGCACACATGAATCGCACCGAGACCTCGGACGGAACTTCAGACCCAGATCTCGAATTTTTTTTGTTTTTTTTTGGTTTCCTGCTGGGTCTTATGGTAATAGGATGATAAAAACTCAACTGTGTTAATGGAATAAAGGAAAGGGATGGTGGCTTTTGGAGAGTGAATCTGCAGTGAGATTTTTAATTTCTAGAGATACAAATGGCTTTAATGATGAAGAAAAAATGAAGTGATGCTCAACGGGGAAGATGATGTTGCTGTAGTGAGTTTACATAGCTATGAAAAAAAGAAATTCCAAGAGAAAATGATTATTTCACAGTAACTTCTGTAGCTATCTGTTTTGGAGAAGAATCAGATTAGAGGATTAGGGATGGGGCCTCGTTCCTTGTTGGGATTTTTTGGGGTCTAGGTTTATTTTAGGCGTAGGTAGTATTATATAGGGGTAGGGATTAAATTTATATTTTGTGTATTTTGCCAATTAGTCCCTAGGTCTTTTTGTGTTAAGTCCTTAGGGTCTTTTTATTTATTTTTTGTCCTAAAGAAGAGTCTAAAAAGGTCCGTACACTACACAATGCCTTTTAAAATAAGATAGAAATACTATACTATGCCAAAACTAATCCTAATTAACTAAACTAAACATGAAACTATTTTTGTATTTTCGAAATTATATAAAGACAAAAAAAAGGTACTATTTTTTTGAATTTTTTTAAAACTTATGAAAAATACATAAACTAAAATATTTTTTTGTAATTTTCATTTTTCTTATGCTAAAATAAAGTAAAAGCGTCAAAATTAATTGAAATAGCGCTATCAGGCCTAAATTAAATATTTTCGGACTAAAATACAGAAAATCTTGGGGAAGGTCAAAAGTCACATGTCTACAACTCACACGCTAGCTGACGAGCGTGGGGTAGAGCACCGTTGGGGATTGTGACTTAGTCCATCCTGTTTGACTATTTTACTGTGTATTAATAGCTAACTGTTTGATATCATTATATATTTGGGCTAAATGCCGTATTTGGGCTTCGTGCCAACTGTTTGAACCCTTAGGGGATTTTTAAATGATAGTTTCCTCACTGTTTGATTTCGTACTGGAGCTCAGTCATACTATATTTTTACTACTTTAAAAACTCACCCATGTTATTCTATTTTGAACACATTAAGTGATATTTTCAAAGTATTTGAGCTGAGCTTTATATTTACTGCGGCCCGAGGGGCTTATGAGATTTTGACTGAGTAAGGCCGAGGGCCAGTGCTGTGAGGATATTTTGGGTAGGGCTGCACGCCACAACAGTGATATAGTGATTATACTAATGAGGTCGAGGGCCTGAGATTGTACGCCACGAGGTGGCTTGAGATTTATAAGAGGCCGAGGGCGTGAGATTTTACGCCACGAGGTGGCTTGAGATTCGTATGAGGCCGACAGCCTGTATGATGCCACGAGATGGCTTGATTATGCGTTTGGGTCGTAAGGGGCCCCTCCCGGAGTCTGTACACCCCCAGTGAGCGCGAGTACCCATTGTGATATGAGATATAGCCCGAGGGGCTGGTATTGTTCTGTGATATTGCCCGAGGGGCTTATTCTGTTGTTACTATGCCCGAGGGGCAGTCATTATGTGTTTACTTATTAGTTGTTTTCCTGTATATTGTTTAGCTGTTTAAGAGAGGTTTATGATATTTCACTACTTAATTATATTCATTGATTTGTTATGACCTTGTAGCTTAATTTGTGCTTTGCGTGGCTTTATATTACTCAATCTTCATTTGTTTTTATTACTCACTGAGTTGGAAGTACTCACTTTACTCCCTGCACCTTGTGTGCAGATTCAGGTATTTCTGACCCGGTAGCGGGTATTGGTTGCTCAGAGGCAGAGTCATCGGAGTTTAGCAAGGTAGCTGCCCGACATATGCAGCACTGCTTTTCTCCCTCTCGATTTCATTAGACAGTATTTAGTACATTTTTGACTCTAGTTGTGTTCGGACCTTAGTAGATGCTTATGACTAGTGACACCCTGATGTCGGGTTGTGTTGGTTTTTATTTCCGCAATTTATACTGTTAAATGCATTTTCGGATTTTATTTTTGATTAAAGACTTAGTAGTTGTTGTTTTAGTTGTTTAAAGTGAATTGGACGTGTGTCGGCTGGCCTTGTCTTCATGAGAGGCACCATCACGACCGGGTTGGGATTTAGGGTCGTGACAAATTGGTATCAGAGCCTAGGTTACATAGGTCTCATGAGTCATGATCAGGTTTAGTAGAGTCTCGCGGATCGGTATGGAGATGTCTGTATTTATCCTAAAGAGGCTGTAGAACCTTTAGGAAAACTCCATATTCTTGGAATTCTTGTCGTGCGTCCTTGATTCAGCTTGAAATATAACTTTTTGAACTCGTTCTACGCATTCGTAAGCGCGAACGAGCGCTTAGTATCAGATGTGCATCGATGGTTTGTGATTCCCTGATCGAGGGGTGAGATGTGATCTCTGTGTGTTTGACGTTGGGCCAGTCTATAGGACCTGAGGTCGGATTTTCACCTATAGCTTGAGCACCAAGGTGCTGATTATGTGAGCCGTGCTTTTGAAATTATATACTCAGTAGTGCCCCCCATTAGTAAAAGTGATGGCTGGATGGCTATGCGATGCGTATGTTATGATTGCGAGATATGTCATATGATTTGGAAGCGACGAGAAGGATCTGCTGGAGGATAGATGAACTATTAGGTGTTTGAATTCCATTGTGATTTGATGTATAGCCCCGAGTTATGGGTGTGCGAAGAATCTTTTCATGTTCCTAATTGGGAGTGAAGTAAATTTCATGTTGCGGTGTGAGTTCAGACTTAGGAAGATTAAGTGACTGCGTAATGTTTATGACGATGGAAGGTATACAAAAATATTAGTTGGAGGCAAATCAGGTGGGTTATCTACTGCGGAGTGTTCTTAAGTTTAAGTGATCCTTATGCTGTTGTTAGAAGATCTCCTTTACCAGTGAATATATTTGTTACAATTTGAATTTTGATCGCTTAAGAGAGTGGGCTTGACTGTTACGAGGGTGAATGCGAGGTTTGCAGAAGATTTGAAGTACTAGATTGTCTGTGTTGCAGAGCTCATGAAGAATTTAGATCAATCTTACTACGGTATTGTGGAATTAATAGAGTATATTAATTATGAGTTATCATGCGTTTTGATCTATGGCTTCAAGCCAAGTGGGGGAGTCTGCTATTGAATAGTTGATTGCACAGTTATGTGCTATGATGGTTCCAGTTCGAGGCGTAGTTGTGAATCAGTTATGGCTCGAGTAAAGGAAAATTCAATAAAGGTTATGTCATGCTTTATGGGTGTATGAGAATAGGGGAATGACTTGAGTTGTTATTAGTAAATGATGTACGATGCATAGAACATGAAGTTGTTTGGTTGCATTAAATTGAGGTTACCTTCTGTGGTGTTGGAGTGCTAATGAGGCACAGGTTGTTCGGTTCATTTGATCAGTCTAATTGAGGTTTGAGCAGAGTGGACGACTCTCGAGAATGGTCCTAATGAGTTCAAGATTTCACATGTAAAATTATTTAGTTTTCAAGTGTATAATTTGGCTAGAAACTAAGGTTGCACTGGAAGGTGTCAAGACTAGTAGTATTTCTATATCATTATGGGGTTCTATATAGCAGTATTAGGAAGGTAAAGGTAATGGCCTTGGATTCGCAGGAAGTCCTTTCAGGGTAGGTATTTTGAATGTGGTACTTGTGGGAATATTTAAGAGGGAATTCAGCGGCTTATGTGCCTTAGGTGGTGTGGGTCTACGTTAAAGTTTGTGGGGCAAGTTTTATTTAAGGATAGTGATGTACTATCAAGGAAACATATAAATTTGAAGGTAATTCGGAAGGAAACTCGGATAGATGGGATAGCTTGGTAGTAGGCCAGATCGGCATGGTAAGGATATGATTAGTTCTTTGGATGCTTACGAGGTAATGAGTCTCTGCAGGTGCTTCGCGGCAATGCTCTTGGGTTTCAGTAACCTGCGTAGCTTGGTCGAGTTAGAAGGATTCAGTCCGGATGGTTTAGTTTTGTGCAAATGGAATTCAGAGAGTTCTTGGTGGTTTCAACCACGGTTAGGGATGCGTATTTTCTACGAGCGTGTGGAGCATGGGGTGTGTAGTGATTGTCTTCTAGATGGGATCAATAGAAAGTTCTTGGCTAGTTGAGTACGTAACTGTTTGTGGGTCAGAAGGGATTTGAAGTCCTCATGTTTATCCTAGGATGGTATGGTATATGCTCTATGTGGTGGAGGATTGAGATTTGCGTGTGTAAGGTTACGGTTCAGTTCTGAAAGGAAGGTCATAAAACTCTTAGACAACGGGCATCTTCAGATAATTAGAGAAATAAGCTTCAGACTACTAGAGAAAAGAGCTTCAGATGATTAGGGAAATGATCTTCAGATGATTGAGGGAATGGTATTGCTAATTGGGGTGATTTGACGAGGGTATATGTTTCAGAAAAAGGCAATGTGATTAAGTTGATGCTACTTCAGTATTATTGCGATACTTTCTTGTTGGATCAACTGCTGATTGTTGAGTTTTCTTAGTGGCACAGAAGAATTACAGGAGTACCTCTCATAGATGATTGGGTATTAGAGGTGTGTTGTATCTTCGGACGGCAAAATTAGGATCGGATATAGTGATGCGTGTGCTATACGGAGTTGGAGACTGGGAGTTCTCATAAACAGGTTATGTTGTGGTTGTGGGTCCCGTGTATTGGCACTGTGTAGTGACTATCGGGGTTTGGAGACCCGAGTGGATCTTTTGTTTCTTGGTAAGTTAGGATTTGAGGGATATTGGGTATAGACTGGTTGTCGCAGTGTTGTGTCATTCTGAGCTATTGCGCTAAGGCAGCGATATTGGCTATGCCGGGAATGCCACAGATTGAGCGGCGAGGTTCGACGAATTATGTTCTTAGTAGGGTTGTTTTATATTTCGAAGACCCAGCGGATGGCTGGGAAGGATTGTCTTTCTTATTGGACTTTGTGATGGATGGTAGTGCAGAGACTCCTACTATGATTCAGTATGAGGGATTTTTTGGATGTGTTCCCTACTGCCAGGCATGTCACCAGACAGGGTTGTCGAATTCGGTATTGATTTGGTGTCAAGCATCGTATCATATGGCACCGACGAAGTTAAAGGAGTTGAAGGGGCAGCTTTAGGAACTCCTTGATAAGGGGTCCGTTGGCAGGCCAATGTGGATGTGTGTTCTAACTTGAGTCGGCTTGGTTGGCTCTGAGTTGTAATGTTGAGGGATGTGTTGATTTGATTGTTATTGAGCTTATTAGTAATCTGGGGAGATCTATGAGTTACCTTTCTGTGTTGCAAGGCGTTATAATTTGTTGGTTATAGGCACACATGGTGCGGTTCTATTGGGGTTTCATAGCG